AACATCCACCTTTAAATCATAGCATAACTCATTATAAAGTACATTAGTCAAGTATATCCATCCAAACATCTACATCCCTGGCTGCTAAGTGAAGATACAAGGCATTCCCATAACCCAGTCCAGTTCACATTCCCAAGCCATTCTTACCATCTTTTTTTTAAAGGCTGGCCTTGAACTCAAAGGGATCAGCCTGCTTCTGTCTCCAAGAGCTGAGAATAAAGGCATTCACCACCATTCCTGACTTAGGTGTGTTATCTTCTCGTTTTGAGATAGTGTCTGGTGTAGCCCAGGCTGGTCTCCAATTTCCTATGTAGCTGAGGATAACCCTGAACTTCGTTTTACTATGCCTGATATATGCACTACTGGGAACTGAACCTAAGACCTTATAAATGCTAGGCTATATTCTATCAGCTGAGTTGTATCCCCAGTCGTGTGTGTGTGTGTGTGTGTGTGTGTGTGTGTGTGTGTGTGTGTGTGTTTGTGTGATATGTATTTTTCCACTATAGGAGTGTATCCCGAGTAACTGCTCCTTCATCATGTCCACAGGCGTTTTCACTGCTTACTGGTTAGAACTACCATGACAAAAAGCCACCATGAACATTTTGGGGTATGTTTGTGATGAACACATGCATTCATTTCTCTTGCAGGTATACCTCAGAGTGTAACTGCTAGGTCATGGGGTTGGCATATGCTTCACTTTAGTAAATATTGTCAAAACAAATTTTCAAATTGGCTGTAACAACTTACTCTCTAGCAGCAGGAGATGAGGATTTCGGTTGCTTTTCCTACCACCTGGTATTGTTTTTTTTAAAAAAAGCCATTATAATGGGTGAACAGTGGGTTATTTTGGGGGTGAGTCTTTTCGTGTGCTATTGATCATCTGAATGAATTATAACACCTGTTCTTGCCACCATGGGTTCTGTTTGCCACCCGAGTGCATATTTCACTAATTCCCCAAATTTCGTTCATTTACCCATTCATTCATTCATTCATTCATTCATCTGCTCACCAGGTATTTATCTATGCCTGGCACTATGCTAGAGGCAAAGAGTGGAGAAAGAGGGCCTGGATGTAGCAGGCTCTCTTGGGCCACCAACCAGCTCCCAAATCATGATTCGGAGACTTATTATTAGTTATAAATACTCAGCCTTACCTCATGCTTGTCCCACTAGCTCCTTAACTTAATTTAACCTGATTCTCTTCATCTCCGTTTTGCCTTAGGGCCTCTTTCTTTCATTCTATAGGTCCTACCTTCCTGCTTCCTCCCTGGCTGGCTGGCTGGCTGGTGTCTCCCTATCTTTCTCCCTCCTTCTCTCTTCCCTCTTAAGTCTAGATTCCTCCTCCTGCTTTTTCTTGATGCCTCCCAGGCCCGCCTATCCCTCTACTGCCTAGCTATTGGCAGTTTTGCTTTTTATTAGACCAATCAGATGCCTTAGGCAGGCAAAGCAACACATTTTTACGTTGTTAAACAAATGCAGCACAAGCAAATGTAATACATCTTTACATAGTTAAAGTAATGCTCCACAACTATTTTCCAGGCAGGAATATGTGAAGCCGAAATTCATGGGGTGGGGGGCAGTCAGTGCTTTGCCAGGCAGGCAAAGCACATCATTTCAAGAGGGAAGTGTGTGCATAGTCCTTGCAGGGGGAGGAACTAGGCTGCCAAGTACAATATTGCAAGAGGAGTGTGTGCATAGCCCAAACCAAATGAGGCTTCTAGAGCAGGGAGCTTGGGGACATCTTTCGAGGGGCTGCATCTGAATGAGGCTTCATGTGGTAGTGGATTCTTTCCAG